GCGTCGGCAAGTCGAAAAGGCGGGGACCTACCAACAATGGACAACCGAATGAAAGCAGTTGATTTTTGCCTCCTGGGGCCCTCTTGGGGGCCGTGTGGGAACCCTCTTGGAGCGTCTGGGACGGTTTGGGCCATCTGGGACCCTCCCTGGAGCGCCTCGGGGGCGTGGTGGGCCGTCAGGAAGCGACCGCGGGCGCCTGGGTGTGGTTCTCCGGCGACTCGGGGGCGACTCGGTGCCTTGTTGGGCTGTCCTGGAGGTGTCTTGGGGCGATTTTGGGGCCTCTTGGGTGTTCTGGGCGCCCGTTGGGGGGAGCCCCTGAAGCGGTCTTGAAGCGGGTGGTGGCGCTTCTGGGGCTGGGTTGGTGCACCGGCGAACCGAAAATGCGGACCCCCCCCCTAAACAGCAAAAACTGAGTGAAAATAAATAATTTGTGTGTGTCCTGGGGCCCTCTTGGGTGCCGTCTGGGAACCCTCTTGGAGCGTCTGGGGGGTGTTTTGCGCCGTCTGGGAACCTTCGTCGAACGCCTCGGGGGCGTGGCGTGACGTCAGGACGCGACCGCGGGCGCCTGGGATTATTTTTCTGGCGGCTCGGGGGCGACTCGGTGCCCTGTTGGGCTGTCTTGGAAATGTATTGGGGCGGCTTTGGGGCATCTTGACTGTAGCCCATCAAACCGTCTTGAAGCGGGTGGTGGTGCTTCTGGGGCTGGGCCGAATCATCGGGAAGCCGAAAAGGCGGAACCATCTAAAGCATCAAAACGCAATTAAGGGCAATCAGCGATTGGTGCTTCTTGTGGCCCCTTTGGAGGCTGTCAAGGGACCCTTTTGGACCGTCTGGGGCGTGGTTTGGGCCGGCTGGGAGCCTTCGTGGAGCACCTTAGGGAGAATGACTGGCCGTCTGGAGACGACCGCGGGCGTCTGGAACAGATTTTCCGGCGGCTCGGGCGTGACCTGGAAGTGTTTTGAGGCGGCTTTGGGGCCCCCTGGATACTCTGAGCGCCTCTGGCGGCAGCCCCTGAGACCCTCTTGAAGCGGGCGGTGGTGCTTCTGCTGCTAGTTTGGAGCATCGGCAGTCCGAAAAGGCAGAAGCAACAACACAGAAACAAACACCATAGAAAGCACATGGGGCCCCCTTGGGCGCTGCCTAAAAGCCCTCTTGGGGCGTCCAGTAAGCGCTTTAGGCTGTCTGGAAGCTGTCGTGGAGCGCCGTGGCAGCGTGGTGGGCCGTCTGGAGACAACCACGACCGCGTGGGAGTTATTCTCCAACGATACGGAAGCGTCCCGTGGCTCTCGGAGCACCTCTGGGTCCCCTGGTCCTTCCATGCGCTGTCGCCTCCAGCCCAGAGCCCCCAGGCCTCCTAGACGGGGATATGTTCTAAGCTGCTCGAAGCGTAAAGCTATTATGCCCCAGCGCCTTCTTTTGCTTTGGGGCATAAGAACTGATATGGCTGCTGATGTTCCCTCCCTTTTCACCTCCCTTTCCGCCGCAGGCGGACTTGACGCAGCAGCGTTTTCGGTCCCAGCCCCGGCTGCAGCGACGCAAGGGGCAGGACGATGACCGCGACGACGACGACAACGACGACGAGGAAGTCGAGGGCGAGGACGACGGCGACGAGACTAACCAGACCAGTCAGATAGAATAAGCAGACCAACCGGACCAGCCGGCCGTTCGGACCTGCGAAGCACAGACCAGACTGAACAGACCAACCCGCCTGGACCGACCAGCCAGCCAAACTAGCCAGGTAGACCAACCAGACCAGGCAGACCAACTAGCCGTTCAGACCAGCGAAGCCCAAACCAGACTGGACAGACCAACCTGCCCAAACCAAGCAGACCAGCTAGACCAGCCAGTCAGACCGGCCAGGTAGACCAACCAGACCAGTGTAAGTCGCATTTTGAAGTCTAAGCCTCAAGCTTTAACTTGGTATGTTGAAGCTTGGACAGGCGCGTCTCACAGATAATTCAGAGATGGCTCAAACACGGCCCCGCAAGGCTCAATACCAATAAGATTGCTCAAGAAGGGCCGGCGATACGAGGCGCAGCCCGTCAAGATATGCAACTTGGGTCAGAGGCGACCGAATAATATAACTTCACGTTTGCTATTGAGCCTGAACTGTCTGCCAACATTATGATGCCCATGTAGTAGTACGCTGGCGTTACTTGATTTCCCATGGACGCTGGTAGTAATCGTGACACAATACGTGGCCAGTGACCTTGTGTTTATCCCATCGCTCGCACTTGTTTGGTTTACCCACATAGCGCTTCGCGGTCACGAAAGGATGCTTGCAGTCTGGATTTTTGGCACGGGCCCGTGCGGGCAGCCATGCAGATAGCACAGAGCCCACGTGGGTCGTGCTAGAGCCAACAATGGCTGCGGTCGTTGTTCTCGTTTCTGCCACCATTTTTGGGCGCAGCTGGTCTGAAACGTTTGATTTCCCCCCTCCTTCTCTTCCGCAGAGAGATGCCATTTAACAAAAACACATTGCGCCAGACCAGCCAGACCACCAGAAAAGCATTGCTCCTAGGGGGGGGAGAGTTTAACACACGGTAATCGTCGTACCAGTCCTCGTTTTCTCAGCTTTCGCCTTTCTCGCCTTTCTCGTCGCACTCGTGATCATACTTGTCGTGCTCATCCGTGGTCTGCCTTCTGTCTCCCTTCTGTTCTTTGTCCTCTCTCCCCCATCACAACTTCGTTGTCCATTCGGCTTATGTTCCATCGGCTTCCGCACCAGACCCAGATAGACACCGGCCAGACCAACCAAACCAACTAGACCAGCCAAAATGCCCATCAAAAATTGCAATGCAAAACAACATGCAAAGAAAAACTGAGTCGCAATGCAATACAAACATAAACAAGCTGCACTTTGGTCGTAGTGGTCGGCGCTGCCTCCCTGGACCTCCCCTAAACCACTCTCGCCCGAATCCGAATCTAAAACTCCAGGACGAAGCTCAAACCAGACCAACCATACCAGCCAAACCAGATGCAAACAACACAATGTACTGCACAACAAACAACTCTTGGTCGGTGGTCGTAGTGGTTGGCGCTGCCTCCCTAGACCTCCCGTAAGACACTCTCGCCCGAATCCTGAGCTAAGGCTTCAGCACTAAGCTCAAACCATACCAACGAGATCAGGAAAACAAGATGCAACAAAAACTGCAATGCAAATCAAACACTACAAAGCAAAAACAACAACTGCAATGCAAAACTACGGTTCTGCGGTGGTCGTAGTGGTTGGCGCAGCCTTCATGGACCTCCCCTAAACCACTCTCGCCCGAATCCTACGTTAAGGCTTCAGGACAAAGCTCAAACCAGACCAACCAGACCAGCCATACCAGATGCAAACAAAAACTGCAGTGCGACAAACATCTGCAAAGCAAATGAAGATGCACTGCAAACAAAACCGTTTTTCGGTGGTCGTAGTGGTTGGCACTGCCTCCCTGGACCTTCCCTAAATCACTCTCGCCCGAATACTAAGGCTCCAGGACTAAGCTCAAACCAGCTTCAAGCGTAAGGCTGAAGCTTCAAAGCTTGCTCTTTGGAAGCTCGGCGTCCCGCCGTGCACTGCACGGCTAAGAGTTATATATGAAAACATAGATACTAGACTGCAGTGGCGCTTCGCGCCATGCACCTTGATCCTTGAAATTTGGCATGCAGGCGGAATAGAAGGAAGGTCAAGCCGACAATTCAGCGATAACTCCTTGTTGCCTTTTCCAGCATCGCCGCTATAATAATGTTATTCGTTTTTCTTCCTCCATGCTTCTTTTTCTTCATTTTCGCCATACCCTGCGCATTCTCCTCATCCTCCTCAGCTCTTTTTTGCGGAGGCTCCTCCTTGGAGAGCTTCTGGGGGGCCTCACAACAGTTTTTCAGGCTTTCTTAAGGCCTTCTAAAGGCCTCCTGGGCGTATTCTGGGCGCCGCTGGGGGCTTCCTCGGGCCACCCTGCCTCCAACCGCGGTCTCCCTGAACGACCGGGTCACGATTTAGAATGCTTCGGAGGGTGTCTTGTGGCCATCTTGGGCCGCCATGGGGCTCTCTGAGGGCCATCTTGGACCCGTGCTGTGCCGTTTTAGGGCTCTCTTGGACTGCCTGGAAGCCCTTTCGGATGGTTGTGGCGCGATTTTGGAGCCTCCCAGGCGGCTTCGGACGCCCAGAAGACCGCCGTCTTGGAGCGTCGGGAAGCCGAAAAAAAGAACCCCAAAATTCACCGACAACCAACAGAAAGTCAATGACTTTTGCCTCTTAGGGCCTTCTTGGGAGTACTCTTGGAGGCCTCTTTGGGGCCGTCCTGGAGGCCTCATCTTGAGGTCACGTCGGTCACTCTTGGAGCGCTCTTGTGCTGTCTTGGGGGTTTCTGGGACGTCTCCGATTACCCCCCTGATCGCCCTAGATGTGCTGGAAAGGCTTGGCAAAACGCCCTGCGAAGCCCGGGGGGCCGCTTCGAGGCCCGTCCGGAAGGTCCCAAAGCCCCAGATCTCGGGAGTCCGGTGTTGGGGGGGGAGGGGGGCCGCCCGGGCTTATAAACATATAGGAAGAGGAATATAAAGCTACACATAGAAATATGGATGAACAAGTACATACACATTATGCTGAAACATACATATGCAGATGTATATAAAGGTATGTGTGCACTTGCGCGCGGGCATTCATTCTCAACCGCGGCGCTGTCCGGACAGGCGAGAGCGGGGAACAGGAGGGTCTGGGGCCCCTCCAGGGCCCCCAGATCTGGCCAAGGCCGGCGCGCTCCCCCAAAACGCCGACCACGGTGTCCCCGAGTCGGTGGCAACTCATGGGAGCATCCCATGCCGTTTTGCTGGCTCTTGCGCATCGATGCTGGCCGACGCTCATTGGCGCTAGTTGACGCTAAATGGACGCTGAGCGAAGCTAAATCTGCGCTACCCCGTCGATCCCCAAACGCTAGCGCACGCTAATGCACTCTAAAGACGGAATTTCGAGGGTTCACAGGGCTCCCATGATTTGCTACCGAATGCTTTCAAACGATCGAAATGTCGGCCACCGCCCAATCGATTTTCCAGCACTCGTGGACGCCTGCCCGGCGGCCAGAACGCCGAGAGCGAAGAGGGTCCGCGCGAGGTCGCCGTGCCGACCGAAGAGCTTCACCAGCGCGCCCGCCGCGCTCTCGAGGCCGATCTCGCTGCAGAACCCGGTCGCGCCCTTTGCTCCGCAGGCCTCGCAAGCTAGGCCCTGGCACTGATCGGAGGGCTTGCTCACGTGGAAGACGCAGGCCAGGGGGCCCACGTCTCCCGCGTTCTCCGCGCACGCGGGGTCGAAGAAGCCGTTCGCGAAGGAGGTCAGCAGGGCAAAGTTGATGGCAGAGGATGAAAAGACGGCATCAGCATTCAACTTTCGGAGGTCCCCGCGGATTTCTCTGGATCTGCGCTGGATCCCCCCCCTGCGCGCTGAAGGCGTTGTCGGGGGGGCCCAGTGCCGATCCGCAGAATCCGCGCAAATCCCCCAAAGCTTATGTTTCTGCATATGCCGAGTTTTCTTCTTCGAGATGAAAAAGGACACTGCGAGGGCCACGGCACTGTCCAAGAACATGTACTTGTTCGCCTGGCGCACGTGCTGGTCGTCGGTGCGGTCGAGGTTGCGCTGCTGGACCAGGGCGCTGTGCAGATAGATGTTGTGAGGCATGATCACCGCGCCAATGGTGCCGACCAGCTGTACAACGGCATAGATGGGGGCCTGGGGCACGAAGCCCTTCAGCATGTCCGCTGCGGGGGGCACATCGAGGCCCCAGTTAAGCGAGAAACACACCATCATCAGGACAATGAGAACAAAAATGAGCAACTCCAGCAGGCGCTTCCCGAGGTAGTGCACGAGCATAAAGGTGAAGGTGTCGAGGCCAGTGACTAGGGATCCAAGCCAGAGGGGCCAGCCGAAGAGCGTCTTGAGGGCGATCGCGCTGCCAAGCACCTCCTGCACGTCCGAGCCGATGATCGCAATCTCTGTCATCACCCAGAGCACCCGAGAGGTTGGTCGGGAATATTCCTGCCGGCACGTCTGCGCGAGGTTCAACCCGGTAACCACGCCCAGGCGCGCGGCCAGCACCTGCAGCAGGAGCCCCGCCGCGGTGCACCAGAACAGCACCCAGACCAGGCTGTAGCCCGTGTAGGCGCCGCTCTGCAGGTCGCTCTCCAGGTTGCCCGGGTCCAAGTAGGCCAGGCTCATGAGCCAGCCTGAGCCGGTGTACCGCAGGAGCGTCCTGAAAGAGAACAGGGTACCCGCTGGGTCCTTGGGCACGAAATCGGCATCCTCGTTTGCCCCTCGCTCCGCTACGACGGGCAGTCCTGAGAGAACAGAGCCGAACTAGGGTGCGAAAAACGGTATCAAATAAACTCTTCTGCTGACGGGGACGCCTGAGCCCTGGGCGGCTGCAGAACTCATACCCGACGGTGCACCGTAGGGATATGAACTTTCCAACCGGCCGGGAGGCTGGCGTCCCCGACGGTGGAAAAATATATGTTCTACATTTCTTCGCCCCATAACAGAGTGCCAACACCGTTGCTCTCCCTGGGGCCTCTATAGGGGCGCGTCCTGGCCAGGATTCCCGCGGCGAGCCCAGCCGCGGCGACGGGCGCCCCCCCCCCTTTCGTTCTGGGTTCAGGAAGCCAGGAACGGCGAAGATGAAAAAAGGGCATCGGTGTCGGTGCCGGCGTGCGGCGCGCGTGGAAAACATGGCAAGACAATACTCACACTGCTACTCCATAGACCACTCCCCTCCCGATGTGCGCTCGGGCGAATATTTCGAAACGAATCTGGCCGCGGCAACGACAGTAGGGTAGCTGTGTCAATGCATGTTGTGTGTATGTGATTGCGTTTGTTGTGGTAGTGTTTGTGCTTGTGTTTGTGTTTGTGTTTGTGTGTTGCGTTTGTGTTTGTGTTTGTGGTTTTGCTTGTGTTTGTGTTTGTGTTTGCGTTTACGTTTGTGTTTGCGTTCGTGATTGTGTTTGTGTTTGTGATAATGTTTGTGCGTGTGCGTGTGAATATATATATATATATATGTATATCCCTTACTCGCCGCTGGCCCTCTCGCCTGCGGCTGCGACGCAACAAGTGTGTGTATATCAGTTTGCCTGTCTGTCTGTCTGTTTGTTTGTTCGTGCGTTTGCATGTGCGTTCGTATGCGCGTTTGCAGTCAGTGTTTGTTCTCGCGTTTGCATGTGGGTGTGTGCTTGCACGTGTGCGCGCGCGTGTGCATGCGAGTGCGGAAGGGGGGCAGTTCGTCGGCGCGGAAGGCTGAGGAGGCGGAAGTGCAGGTGAAGGGGTGCAGGGCCCAAGCTGTCGCGATGGATGCGGACGATGTGGAGGACGAGGAGGAGGAAATGGAGGAGTCCCACGGAACCACGGCTCCCGAGGAATCGAGTGCCGTTTCTCCAAGACCTCCACACCGCTCTTCTCTCGCTGGCGAACCCCCCGCGTTGCGCCCGCGTGGGCCCGACGTGCGGGATCGCTCAGTTTTCTTGCCCAGTGCCACAAATCGTGGCGCTATTGGGAGGCAGGAAGGAGAGGAGGGAGGCTCGGGGGGCCCCGTTCCTTTCGGCCCCCCTCGCCGACGTCGCGCCCGTGTGGGCCCGACCGAACTCAGGACGCCGATTCTCGCACTGCTATTGCCGCATTTCGCGGCGCCCCCCGCCCCCCTCCCCGGGGGGAGAGGAAGAGGGCCCGGACCATGGCAGCGATGGCGGTTACAGAAACCTGCGGGCCTCCCCTGAACCTCACCAGGGCCCTGATGGAACCTCCACATCCTCCGGACCTGGTAGCAATGGCGGCGTCAGAGCCCAGCGGGCCGAACCTGGTAGCGATGGCGGAGTCAAAAGCCAGCCTGCCGCCCCTGAGCCTCGCCAGGGCTCAGAGGGAACTTCCATGTTTCCCGTTTCTGCCGCGCTCCATGGCACCCATGAACCTGGCAACAATGGCGGTGTCAGACAGAGACCGGCGGGCCGAACCTGGTAGCTTCACACACGTTATCGCGGCATTCCGCTGCGTTCTCAGATGTGACGTGTCGGAAGCTAGTGTAGCGCGCTCAGGGAAACGGGGGGCCCTAGCGGCGTCAGAAACCAGCAGGCCGAACTTCCGAACCTGGCAGAGATGGCGGATGCAGAAACCAACGGGCCTCCCCTGAGTCCCACCAAGGATCCGGGGAAACGTGTGCGTCGCTTTCGGCAGCGCTCCTGGACAGGGCGACGACGGCGGTTGGGGCACACCTGGTCAAAGCCTCGTCGTCACGCTGAGGACCCGCTACGAGAGGCCGCCACCTAGAGGCGCGCAGGCCAACGCGTCTGGCAGCAACATTCCTGGACCGCGAAGAGGTGCACTGTCTGGCAGGCCAGAACCACCTGTCCAAGGCTGCGATGACACGCTGGCGCCAGAATGGGTTGGGAAACCTTCACCACCGCCTGGCGTCCCCAGTAGTGGATCCCCTGGCCCCTGGGATCGAGTGAGGACCACGGACGGCCAGGTCGACAGATACCACAGTGCTCAAGGTGACGCAGTATCTGGAGAGCCCTCTGGTCTCGAGGTGGCCCCTCCGGTCCGCCCTGGAAGCCTGGGGTCCTTCCCCCCCCGTTGTCGCGACGATCGCACTTGGCGCCGCTGCTCGTCCTGGAGAACTCGCCTCTCCCAGTGTCTAGGATCGTCGCAGGAGCGTTTTTTGTCGGATTTTTTTTTCACTGGGGTCGGGGCTTCCGTTGACGCTGGGGGCAATTTGCGCGGCTCGCAACGTAGCAACGCCATTCAGCGCGCGCGGGGGCGCACGCGGGCACTCAGAAGCGCGCAGCTACTGGGAGAGACGCCCGCAAGCGGCCATGCGAGACCACGGGCGCTCACAGGCACGCGGAAGCACTGGCAAGCACTCCCGCGTGCTCACATCTTCCCAAAAAGGTTGGCGAGACCTTCCACGCGTGCCCACGAGCACCCGCAACTGATCACGACGCGCCCGCGGGCGATCACAGTCGCGGGCACGCGCCCAAAGGCGGCCACACAAGCGCAGAAACGCCCGCCGAAACCTTCCCCGTATGCACTGCTCCGCAGGCACTCGGAGGCCTCCGCCCAGCGTCGCGACCAGGGGGCCACGTAGTGAGTCGGGCGAATGTTTCTCAGCCTTGCCGGTCGCCCTCGGCATCCCTGCGCGCGCTGGCAAGGGGCGCTTTTACAGACAACATCGACCCCCAACGCATATTGAACTGCTGATGAGGGGGCCTGAGCGTGTTACAACATTTACAAGAACGTTAGGTCGCAGAGGCTGGGCTTGGCCACAGACGGCCAAAAATGGATGCTTGGGCCTGCGACTTAACCTATCTTATGCATGGGCAACTAAAAAAAGCACATGACGCATACGCCGGAATAGAGAAATATACATGTATAGGCGGGCGTACATAACGATATGCACGGACCAGTGTAGCACGACAGCTGTGCACAGGTGTATCCAGAATGTGGCGACATTTTCCCAGCAGGGGGCCTCACTCGGGCATTGCCTTTTGGATGAGCACTGCCTCGCGGGATTCTCGTGTGGCTTTGCTAGGCTCTCACGGGTCTCATGGGGTGCGTTCGTCGGGCTCTCACGTGTCTCGCGGGGTTCGCTCGTCGGGCTCGTCGGGCGCTCACGGCCTCGGAGGGCTACAACAAACCCCCAAAGGGCCCCAAGAGGGTTCCAGATGGCCCCAAGAAGGGCAAATCAGGACCCCAACAGGGCCATATGAGGGCCCCAAGAGGTCCCCAGAGATGTGCCACGGCCGTGAAACATCCCCGGGGCCCTCTCGGGGCCCTCTTGGCCCCCCTGGGAGCCTCCTTGGGCCACTCAAAGACGGCGGCAGAGGCCTCAGGAAGAGTCAAGAGAGGGCTCCAAGAGGGCCTCGAGAGGCCCCCAAAAAGGCCCACGGGATTATGTACCAAGGGGGTCGGTTGGTAGATATTCCTGGGCACCTCTTGGAGGCATTTGCGGTGCTCTTGGGGGCCACTTGGGGGCCACAGGGAGCCTTGTGGGGCCCCTTTTTGTCCAGCCCTCCGAGGCCGTCATCCCTCCTGCCTCCTCCTCCTACTTTATCCTGCTTCCTCCTGCAGCCCCCATCCTCTGCATCCTCCTCCTGCCTCCTCCTCCCTCCCCTCCTCCTCCTCCTCCTCCTCCTCCTCCTCCTCCTCCTCCTCCTCCTCCTCCTCCTCGCCCTCCTTCATCCTCTCTTGCACCTGCATATTATTATTTATCATCCTCCTCCTCCCTCCTCCTCTTCCTCCTCCTCTTCCTCCTCCTCCTGCCTCCTCCTGCCCCTCCGGCTCCTCAGGGCAACAGGGGCCCCGGAGCATTCGGAGGGCCGTTGGGGTCCGCACTGCACTCCCCACTGCACTCCCCACTAGCGCCCCACTAGCGCCCCACTAACGACTGTCACAGGGTTCGTGGCCATGCCGATTCGGCTTAAAGTCGAGTGCCACAGTCGAGTGCGAAGTCCCGCTTAAGATTTCTCGTGGGCTCGTTGGTGGGCTCGCTAGTGGGCCCCTTAGTGGGCTCGTTAACGGGCTCGTTAGTGGGTCGCTAGTGGGCCCCTTAGTGGGCTCGTTTGTGGGTCCCTTAGTGGACTCGTTAGTGGGTCCCTTAGTGGGCTCGTTAGCGGGCTCGTTAATGGGTCCCTTAGTGGGGGCGTTCGGGGGTCCGCTCCTGGGCCGTTCGTGGGCGGCCTCCTGGAAGAGCCTCGTTGTTGCCTGGTGGGCTTCTTGATGCGAGCCCTGGGTGACTTTGCCCAAGAGAATCCGGAAGGTTTCAAGACCCACCGATGAGAGCCCAACGGAGTCTTCGAGAGTCCGACGGAACCCGACGGAGCCGGAAGGAGCCACACGGAGCCCGACGGAACCCGACAGAGCTCAAAAGGGAAAGGAAAAGGCGACAGGATGAGCCCGACGAAGCCTGACATAGCCCGACTAGAGGAGGGAGGAGGACAAGGAAAAGAGGAGGGAGGACGACAAGGGGAGAGGAGGAGCCCGACGGAGCCCAATCGAGCCCGCAAGAGCCCCACGAGAGCCTCGCGAGAACCCCTGGGGGAACCCGGCGAGAGCCCCACGTGAGCCCCACGAGACCCCGAGTGAACCCCGAGGAACGCCCAGCGAAAGCCTTGCGGGGAAACCCATGAGAGCCCCGCAGGAACCCCGCGAGAGCCCGACAAGCGAGCCCCGCGAGACCCGTGGGAGCCCAACAAAGCCCCACGAAAACCCCGCGAGGCAATGCCGGTCCCAAAGACAGTGAGTGCTCGGGAGAGGCAGGCCACGTACTCTGACGGTCGAGTCATCGTTGCTACATGTT